CTCTATCTCTCATCTCTCATCTCTCTCTCTCTCTCTCTCTCTCACTCTCTCTCTCTCTCTCTCAGGTGGTGATAGTGATGAAGCTACTGCTACTGCTACTGATGCTATCAGGAGTCTATCAACAGGAGTTATACAAACTGAAACCGGAAAAATTCAACATTTAGTAGCCTTAGTCTATCTATGATTTATTGTGTTTAACTCGATAAACTTGAGCTCAAGTGTTACCTTAATCATTAAACTAATTCCATGTCTAATCGTTGGTCTCACAAAAATGACAAATCGGGAGAGATCCGTTCAAACGTACAATGTGGGTTTAGCAATTTATACCACATTGTAAACAACTGTGAACCGAACTGAGCTGAAACAAAGGGCAATGCTTTTGAATAGCCCTCTACCGCAGAGCAATGCAAACAACTAGCAAGGTTCGCCAGGGATTTCCACTTCACTTTCCACTGCCTCGTTGACGTTTTCAACAAGTTCAGTTCTTTCACTTTCTTCCAGCTTACCACGAACTTCCTGAACTTGTGCCCTCGTCATTGTACGAACAGTCGAAGGTCTTTTACGGCGTTTGTCGATTCTAATTGGAGTTGTTGGATTGGAAAGCTTACGCTTCGAAGCCATGTTGAATAGTAAAGATGAGATCTCGCGAGAAATTTTATTTGAAAATCCCTGGCGAACCTCGCTAGTTGTTTGCATTGCTCTGCGGTAGAGAGCTATTCAAAAGCATTGCCCTTTGTTTCAGCTCAGTTCGGTTCACAGTTGTTTACAATGTGGTCTAAATTGCTAAAACCACATTGTACGTTTGAACTGATCTCTCCCGATTTGTCATTTTTGTGAGACCAACGATTAGACACGGAATTAGTTTAATGATTAAGGTAACACTTGAGCTCGAGTTAAACACAATAAATCATAGGTAGACTAAGGCTACTAAATGTTGAATTTTTCCGGTTTCAGTCTGTCTTACTCCTATTGATAGACTCCTGATGCTATCTCAGTAACGCTTCTATCTCTCTATCTCTAGTAATTCCTATCTCTCTCTTTCTCTTTCTATCAGGTGGTAACTCTGACGAAGCATCGCGACCTGCTTAAGCCTGCAGACGAGCAGCTACACGTGCTGCCTCTCTACGTCCTCGAGCCGACGGATGAGCGAGGTTCCGCGGACGGATACCGCGACAAGCTGCGCGACGGCTCCGTCGAGGAGCTGCAGCGGTTCGAGAAGATCGTGCGAACGCGCGCCGCGCCCGCGCGACCCTGCAAGCGCAACAACTTCAAGTCGCCGTTCAAGAACCGCGCCGCCGCGGCTGCGACGAAGGTGGCGGCACCGGCGAGGCCCGCGGAGGCAGCGGCGCCCCCTGCGGGAAAGCAGGAGTTGCCGCCGCCACCGCGGTTCGACGATCCGCAGGAGTATTTCTTCGAGCAGTTGAAGGCGAACCCGAATTTTCTCGATCAGCAGCTGAAGATGTTCCTCCAGCAAGAGCTTGGGGAGAAGCCCCCCGAAGGAGAGGCCGCTGCTGCAGCGGAGGAGGAGGAGAAGGCGGGGAAGAAGGCGGCGGGGGTGGGGGGGTACCAGAACGGGAAGATGTCCCCGCAGCAGCAGCAGCAGCAGCAGCAGCAGCAGCAGGAGGAGGGCGGAGGCTTGTGGCCGTGGCCGATGTTTCCGCAGCAGCAGCAGCAGCAGCAGCAGCAGCAGCAGCAGCCGGCGCAGTTGCAACAGCAGCCGCAGGATGAGAAGCAGCAGCAGCAGCAGCAGAAGACGGAACCCAACGACGACGACTGGCTCGGTGCTGCTCACCTGGTGGCGCTACCGATGCTGCAGCAGTCCGGCGACGCCAACGCGCAGCAGAGCGACGGTTGCCACGGCGACGGCGTGCGCGCAAACGGCGCGTGGAGTCGCGACGAGGGTGCGCCCCCTGGTGACCGTCCGGACGGCGGCGCGACAGACGTCCCTGGCGACGCTCGGATGTTATCGCCCGGCGAGCGCGTCGCCATGGCGACCGACCGAAGCCTCGGGTCCGCATTTCGTGGCGCCGCCCAGATGCGGTCTAGTCCGCCGCCGCGACAGGAAGTGCGCGAGCGTCCGCTGAACTCCGACCTCATGGCCGTGAAGACGCAGCTGCCGATGAAGATGGGCGACGACCTCGCGCTGACCCCGCGGAAAGGTCGCGGCCGGGGTCGCGGCGCGTCGCGGTCGCCCCGCACGCCCGGCGCCCCCTCCCGGTCTCCCGCCGCGTCGGACGCGTCCCCCGCCGGCCGCGGCGTCACGACGACGTCACCTATGCAAGGCCGCTCTCCCTTCCCGCAGTTTTCGCCGGATGCGGTGGAAGCGGTTGCCGGCGGCGACCGGCGGAGGAGCGCGGTCATCAACCTCATGCAGGGATGCTTCAACGACGCGGCGCCGCCGTTGCCGACGAACGGATTCGAGGGACTAGAGGACCAGCCAGGTGGCGCCGGCATGGCAGGCCTCCGGCAGGGGGCGCCACCGCACGCAGGCATCACTGCGCAGCAGCCGTTCGATCTGTCAGCGACGTACGGCGGCGGCGGAGATGGCAGCGCCACCTACCAGCCGCCGCCGTTCGCAAGCTTCCTCCCCGGCGGAGACGACTATGCAACGGCGGCGCCACCTACCGCCGTCCAGGACGACTGCCGGCGAAACTACCAGCGCGGGGGCGCCACCGGCAGCGTGCCACCGGCAGCATTGCCCGCAATCCGGTGTATCAGCCCGGCGTCGGGGATGCTGCCAGGTGGCAGCACGGCGGCGCTGCATGCGGTGTCGCCGTGGCGACAGCAGACGTCGCCGCAGCAACAGGACCAGCGGTCGGCGTTCAGCGCATTCAAGCCAGTGGGGGCGGGTGTGTCGCCGCTGGCCTCCCCGCGCGCGAGCCCCGCCCCCAGCCCCGCGCCCCCCTCCCCCTACGGCGCCGTCCCACCCGCGCGCCCCTCCCCCCGCGCCTCCCCCTTCCAGCCGTGGGAGGCCGGCTTGTACCCGCCCCCCGCGGCAGCAGGGGGCGCCGCCGACTTCGCGCAGGTCGGCTGGACGACGAACGGACTCGGATCGCCGTCATCGAATTCCCGGAACTCTCCCGGCGCTCCCTTCCCGAGGGTCGTCGGGTCGCCGCCGGGTCAGGGGTCGCCGGGGATGCCGCCGCCGCACTCCCCCTCGCCTGCCGCGTCGCCGGCGCCCCCTGGTTACAGCGGAGGCGGCGGCGCTTTGGCGCGGCAGCTCTCCGGCGGTCAGTACGAGACGTCGGCCGCGGGTTATCACGCACCGCCGGTTCCCTGCAAGCCGGAGTACACCCTGGACGAGCGAGGGTTCCTGCTGCACGGCGACGGCTCGGTGGCGCCCCCGCGACGACGCGTCTGCGACGAGGCGGGCGAGAAGACTGAGCCGTTGCCGGGGGCGATGGGACCTCCCGCGTCGCCACGGCCGCGCGCCGCGGAGTTTGCGCTTCGGCAGTGTCCGCGCGCGCACGCCCGGCTGCCGTACGGCTACCACGACCCCGCCGCCGCCGGTTACCACGGTTACGCATCGCCAACGTACCCCGGCGCCACCTACCATCAGGGCGGCGCATCGCCGTACTACCAGCAGCAGGGGGCGTTTCCTCCGCCGCAGTACGGCGCGTTTCACCACCAGCAGCCGCAGCAGCAGCAGCAGCCGCAGCCGCAGCCTCCGTACCAGCATCCGGGATTCCCGCATCCGCCGGGCGCCGGCGCAGCGCGCTTCCAGCAGTCGCAGACGTACGGCTACCACGAGTATCCGCAGGGGGCGCCGCCGATGTCTCCCGCCCAGCAGGGGGCGCCGCCGATGTCCCCGTCATACCACGGTCGACCCCCGTTATCACCTTCCTATGCTGGACATCCGCCAATGTCACCCTCCCATGCAGGACATCCCCAAATGTCACCCTCCCACATGGGTCATCCCCCAATATCACCCTCGCATGTGAGTCATCCACCGATGTCACCCTCCCATGCAGGACATCCTCCAATGTCACTCTCCAATGCAGGACATCCCCCAATGTCACCCTCCAATGCAGGACATCCCCCAATGTCACCCTCCAATTCAGGACATCCCCCAATGTCACCCTCCTATGCAGGACATCCTCCAATGTCACCCTCTCATGTGAGTCATCCACCGATGTCACCCTCCCATGCAGGACATCCCCCAATGTCACCTTCCCATGCAGGACATCCCCCAATGTCACCTTCCCATGCAGGACATCCCCCAATGTCACGCTCCCACATGGGGCATCCCCCAATGTCCCCTTCCCATGCTGGACATCCCCCAATGTCCCCTTCACACGCAGGACATCCTCAAGTGTCACCTTCACACGCAGGACATCCCCCAATGTCACCTTCCCATGCAGGACATCCCCCAATGTCACCCTCCCACATGGGGCATCCCCCAATGTCCCCTTCCCATGCTGGACATCCCCCAATGTCCCCTTCACACGCAGGACATCCTCAAGTGTCACCTTCACACGCAGGACATCCCCCAATGTCACCTTCCCATGCAGGACATCCCCCAATGTCACCTTCCCATGCAGGACATCCCCCAATGTCACCTTCTCATGCAGGACATCCCCCAATGTCACCTTCTCATGCAGGACATCCGCCAATGTCACCTTCGCACCCTCCAATGTCGCCCTCGCGTGGGGGACGACCCCCCATGTCGCCCTCCCATGTCGCGCGACTGCCCACGCCTCCGTCCTACGCCGGTCGCCCGCGCGCGCCGCCCGCCGGCTACCCCGGCGCCCCCTCGTCGAAGAAGACGAAGACGAAAAACAATGGAGCGTTTGCGCCGTCGCTCGCCGGCTACAGCCACAGCGACCGCAAGCGCGAGATGGACCTGAAGGGGGCGGAGATCGAGCAAACGATGACGGACGGGTGCCAGCGCGACTCCGCCCCCGCCGTTGACGCAGGGGCGCCACCGGGCCAGCACGACATCAGCGAGTCGTACTCGTCGAACGCGGAGAAGTTCGCCGACGCCGACGTAGGTGGCGTCGCGATCGCGCTCTGCCATGGCGCCGTGCTCTTCGAGTGTGCGAAGCGGGAGCTGCACGCGACGACGGCGATACGCGACCCGAACCGCCTCGCGCCGACACGCGTCTCCCTCGTCTTCTACCAGCACAAGCACCTCAACTACCGGCACCACGGCCTCGCGGAGTACGAGCGCGCGGCGGAGAGGAGGCGCGCGGAGAAGGCGGCGCGAGGGGAGGAGCCGGTGCGACCGGGGAGGAAGCGGCGCGCAGAGCCGCAGCCGGCGGCCGGGATGGTCGCCGCGGCGACGGACGAGGGAGCGTTCATCGACGCGGCACCGCCGCACGGCGTGACGACGCGACGGTGCGTCGCCTCGACGACCGACAGCCTTGTGACGCTGTTCAGCTACGCGTTCACGTCCGTGACGGGACCGTACCGGACGTTTGTGTGATGCACGCGCCTCAGCCAGCGGGCGCCACCGACGGCCGTAACCGCCTCCCAGGGGGCGCTGTTCCACAGACTGCAAGGACTGACGACCTACGTCGGTGCACCGATGCGAAATGGCTGCGCCACGGCAACTGCTGACCACCTGATTCACCAGATGACTGATCGAGTTGTGGGCACCAGAGGGCACCACCGTCTTGCTGCGTCGCCGCGACTGCGTCGAGTCGAACTACGTGAGACGTGTGCAAAGCTCGCTGCGAGTGTGTGCACGTGTAGACGGTTCCCTGATCGCCGTCTTCTCTGTGTTTTATAGATCGCCGGGATCCGTCGGCGATCGTTAGCTTGCGTTACGGCGAGCGGAGCGTCGGTTAGGGACACAGATTATGCAGTTTTTATTGAAGCGTGTTCGTACGCGTATAGCCATTTATGTATGGTACATATGTGGCTGTATATCTGTGTATATGTGCGTGCGTGCGTGCGTGTGAGTGTATGTATGTGACTGTCGCACCTATCCATTGCATTTAATATGTCGCGTACCCTTATTTAAAGGAAAGCTGCAATATGAAATTGTCCGTTCTCACGACAACGACCACTGCCAGGGCGCGTCGCGCCCTCCCTTGCACGTAACCACGGCGACGGCATCTCCCGTAAAGATGGGGTACCCTCCGCGCCGTGCAATCAATTGTGTTAGCAATGAACTCACTGCCATGTAGCGATGTTCGGGTTTTACATTTCTACTACCATATTCATTGACTGGCGCTGCGTCCTCGGCGAACGGTCAGCGAACCTAGACTCAGAGGTCACCACTGCCATCTAAGCGTCTATAGACTGTCGACCGATCGACAGGTTGTTCGTCTGTCTCGTAGGGAGATGCGTGGCGGAAGGGGGGGGGGCGTGTTTAACGCAGGAGAGGAAGCCACGGCGCGCCACGCCACCTTCTCCATTGTAAATAGTAATTTGTCGTCGCTGTTCGTCAGTTTGTCGCTAAGAGAGACTTCCTCTCTCCTCCTCCTCTCCCCTACCCCTCCCCCTCCTGCGGCTCTCTGTCTCTCACCGCACTCCCTTCTCCATTCCCCCCATCCCCCCTCATTCGTTCGTCTCTCCCCTTCTCCCCCCTCTCAAGTCTTTTTTAGTCGGTTATTTGTTGTAACCGTTATCCGCGAACTCATTTTACGCCGTTTTTAGAAGAGAAAAAAGAAGTTCATATAATTATACCAGATTAAAAAAGTTTGATCATGTGTGAATTTAAATGCGTGATTTAAATGGCGTACGTTTTTTTTTTTCCCCAAAACAAACCGAAGTGTGTATTGTCTGCCAGCATGAATATTATAGATGGGCAACTTTGTCGGGGAGTAGAGAGAGAGAGAGCAGGAACATTGGCAGTGCGAGAGCAGCACGTATAGATGGCACTATAGCGACGAATAGATGGCCAAGAAAATTGTGACACTACCATCGTTTTTCATGTGCCGACGCGATAGTCGGAAGTTTCCCGTTTTCTCTGCTTGCCGGGCCGGGCCCTCTTCCCCTCAAAACTATAGTGTAAGTTATTGATCTTAATGTTTTATTCCCAGTTTTTTTAACGCGAGGAAGGTTATTTTATGCGCGTGCGATTGACGATATCTCGATTACGTTAGTTAGTCACCAACAATCGCCGCGTCCAATGTAGAGCCTTGCAATTTTACTGACGTTTGGGATTTTTAAAATTCTAGCACGTCGGCCGGAGAGAACAGGGTGAGGGCGGGCTTTTTTTATTTTCGGTGGGGCGGGTGTTGTTATCAAATCCAAAAGCAAAGAAATCGTTGGCATGCGTGTATCGAAATTTCCGCCCGTTTAAAAAAACCTGGCGGACAGCAGTGTGCGAACTGACGTCGGTAAGCATGGAAGCCTCGTACGGAGTACAAGCGGTCGGCACACTCGTTATCGCCCCCCCCCCGCCTACAAGTTAGTCGTACGCTCTCGAGCAGTGTCGCACCCATATCGGCGCAGAACGTGAATCTCTATCTACCTGTAGTCGGAAACTTCGTTGTCTGATTCGTAATAGCTATACTATCATATCATTAGATTCTCCAGTCGAATAAAAATAATTAATCAAATACATATTTTCAATCGAATGACTATCTTACACTTAACGGGATACTGTTTACAGTAAACGGTAAAGAGTCCGTGCGTGCGTGTGGCGTCGTGCGTGTGTGCGTGCTGGTTGATTAAACCACATTCACTCATAAAAAACAAGTGGAATAAGTGCCATTCGTAAACCGGACTGCGTCAAGTGTACTGATAAGTTGTTTCTGCAATCCAGTAATGTGTTTCTTTTGGTTGATTGATGATTTTGTCAAATTTGATTTTTAAGTTTCGCCGAGTTATCTATGCCAACGCGACAACATATATTTTGTCGCCTCAGTTTCGGTGCACCTCCTTGCGTCCAGTGAATTAAATTATTGCGTTTTGTCGTTCTATATGTTGTAATTGGTGTTGGCGGGCAGCACCTGCGTGGCACGTCCGGCAATTAACCTACAGTCATTATGATGTTGAGTTTTAGGTAATTCACGATTAAACGAGTTTATGAGTGTATGATTTTTCGCCACCAATTTGATTTGCCTGTTTTATTGCTATAAGATATACGTCACTGAACAGTGCGATTTGATACGGCTATTTTCTTATCTTTCTCTGTTCCTCCATTCTTATTCTACGGCATTGTAATATGTAATTAAAAATGACGTACAGTTAAACTAGGCATCTGCTAACTCGTATGACTTAATTGCGGATTTTATGGACATTGTACTGGCCGTTGCCTATCAACTGCGTAGAAATCAACCGCCTGCGTGCGATTCGAAGGGAACAAAATTAAATAAGAACCGTGAATGAATAAATATAATTAATGACGATGTAAAGTGAACCCGCCCTACCCGCTGCGTGTGTGTGTTTTGTATGTATATATAGATGTGCGTAGAGAATTGCACTATATACGTGAATGAATTCCACATGTGCGTGTCGCGCGTGTGTTGGAAGCGTCCGAGGTCGTTTCTTAACATTAAGCTAGTGATTGTAAAAAAAGTAACTGGAGGCGGTAAGAAATACAAGGAATTTTAAACTGCACCGAAGGTGTTTAATAGTTATGTTTGTACTGTGTTGTACAACGTGGCCGAGTGTTTACTGTGTAGTTATTATCATGAGTCCGATTTGTGTCATATAATAATATATATATACAAAAATCATGTAATGTTGTAGTAACTGACCGTATTCATTCATCCACCACCAAAATAACGTTTTATTAAAAACTTATTATTCACTATTTCTCTTCTCGTTAATACGGCAATGTTTATGTTGTTAGTCAATAGAATCATCTATTAAGTTGCCAGTAGGCAAGAAAGTTTAGGAACAAGGAGAAAAAACGAGAGAGAGTCAGTACATACTAATATTAATATTATATATATATACAATATAATCAATAACATACATAATATCAGAAGTAGATAATAGGAATCCCATTAGGTAAATCGCTATTAATCTACTCCTGAAAATAATCAGGAAATTAAGATAATATAGAAGGTAATATATCAATCGGGTAGAAATTATGCAAGCAAATGTTAATTCACTTGCTTTTGACAGTCATCTCCTTCTAGTACATTAACTACTCCATATAATAGTTCATAAAAACACCGTAATATAATTATACAACATGAACTACACGTCCATATGCGCTTATCGTGCTAAGTATAAAATAGGCAACCCGAGCAAGAAAAACAAATGCGAAGAAGAGTGTTCGGTTCTGTACACACTCCCCTCATATCATTCGCTCAACCTCACCTCACCCTCCTATTTTCACCTCCTATTTCCATTGCCCCTTCTCTATCCCTTCCCCTTAATATTTTGCCTCCCCTCTCAAATGCCATGTGCAATTGACAATCTATTTCGCCATCTAGTGAATAAAATAGAAAAAATTAAAAGTGCGCATTATTTCTACTCCATCCGTCTCCTCACCGGATGTATCGCCCATGACATCAAGGCGTAACAAATCTTTGACGCAGAAAACAGCTGTATTTCGCTCGAACTTTCACTCAGTCAATCCATCTAAAAGATATTACGGCTATACAACGCTTTTTACAGTCACATGTTCAAAAACAACACATACACACCGCCACTGTACGGCCACACGCGGTTGGTCCGCGGCGCAGCAGCGCGCGTGCACGTTATAAGGCATAAATCACATGTGTCTCGGCAAGGTGAAAATTCGAGCCGGAAATACGGCGATTATTCTCGTCAACGATTTTAACCGCGCTGACTGGGATCAATGCGATACTCATTGCGTCGAGAGGGGATAAGAAAGAAGGAATATACTACGTAACATATAATATTTTCTATATTATACACAACTAGATTCGCACAGAATAGGTCAAATGCCAACCCATAACATTTTAGAAAATGGCGATTATTCTTACCTTCCTTACTCCCATCTCACGATGATCGCCCATGCCCATGTCAAGCGTTAAAAAATCTTTCACAAGGAAATGTCTGTATTTCGGCCAACTTTTCACCCGCATTGCATCTGAAAATGATTTACTGGCATAATACACTTTTTACAGTCACACAAAAACACACATACACACGCCGCGACCGGTTACAGCCACCGTGTGTCCGCACGCCTGGCGTGCACTGTTATTATATCGTAAATTCACATTGTGGTCTCGCAGGTGCAAAGTTCGAGCGCGAAATAACGGCGATTCTCGTCAAAAGATTTACGCTGACTGGGTCAGAGCGATACCACCCGTAGAGGGAGTATAGGTAAAGTAAAGAATAATATTTCCACTTTAATAATGATTCTATTATATTCCACTAGATGGCCAGAATTCAAACAATGCAACATAGCATTTCCTAAATAATGAATAACTCCATACCATATAACTTGGCATTGGGAAGAAGTTGCCAATCCAACACTCTATATACAACCTCTTCTCAAGCTCAAGAGCGAGAGAGAGAAAAACTAAAGAATAGGGAACTAATAAAATCTCCTAATAAGCATATCCTAAACTACTACACCCTACACCTTCCCTGCGACACCAGAGTTGCGGCAGCCCCCCATATCGTGAAACACTGATTATGTGAAACCTGGATGCGCTATAAATTAGAGCAAATTATTTCTTAATTCAATTATAATATGGGGTGTACCTAAAAGTCGGCGTACATACAAACAACAACAATGAATCGGTTCACAAAATCACCAATTATTATAATACAGTATATATATAAACACCTCAAAAACAAAGAGTCATAATCTAAGCAAGATCCAGGCATATGTATATATACCGCACCATGAAAGTAGCTTGAATATTTACAATTACAAATGCACACCGTATGAATCAAAATGGGCGGCCATTCCAGCAATATATATCGCGTATTTTTATACCTTTCACCCTTAACACCCACGTCCAAATTAACACTATATCGCCTTCTGCTATGCAACCCGTATCAATATTCCTGCGGCTGCTGCTTGCATCTCCTCAGTCCAAGGAACAGCAGAGAGTGGTCGACACGCACTAAATAGGTGGATCCTAGCCCAGCGCTGTCCTATGTATTAACCATCAATATACCATCCAACAACGAGAACTAATCTCATCTACATACTGCTACCCCTCTATACAGCTGCCTCCCTTCACATGTAAAGGGACCATATATATTATATATATTGTATATATATAATATATATAATATGTGTTGTTTATATGTCACTATAATATATACATATGCCATATATTGCTGCCCATTGGGGTACTGCATTGAAGATAAGCACATCCCAACACAGACGCAGAAGCGAGACAAGTCCATTCTCAATTGGGCTACTGAGATTCAAGCAACGATTCCGAACCTGGTTAGACAAGAATTTGCGACAATGTAGAGTGAAGGGCCGCAGGATGTCCTGACACTTTCAGGGTAAAGCCTCCCCCGGAATCACGAACGTCCGACTCGGGGAAGATCTTCGAATCAAACCCTGCTAGCTACGGCCTGCTGTGCATAATACTATTAGATGGTCAATAGGCTGCCGCAACAGCAAACTTGCCTAAAACATAAGCCAC